TTTTTTTTTTGCTTTTTTTTTTTTTTTTTTATTTTTAATTGTTAAATTTCAAATTTCAAATAAATAAATTTTTTTAATTCAATTTTATTTTTTACTAGCGGACCCGACAAACTTCGTTCTGTCAAAAAGATTTGTAATTTGGAATTTTTTGTTCCTACCTATTTTATAGCCGTGGTAAAAAAATCTCCTGAACAGAACAGTCACCCAGGAGTGTGGGGTTCAGCTCGAGTGACCGAAGTATTTTTTCTTCGAAAAACTTTGGCCACTCTTCTGGGATTCACTAAAAAAACCCAGACTGGGATGTCTGCCATAGGGTTTCAAACTAAGAGCCGAACTGAGGGTTCAAACCTGATTGGAAAATAATCTAAAGGGGCAGTGAAAACTTAAAGGTGACAAATATATAAAAAGTGGGTGGCTTGCTTGGATAGTTGAGATAATGATCTGCAAAGAAAGTCATGGGGATTTAATAAACATACCTACAATAATCAACAACTTATTACAACACACAAACTCATCTATTCTGGTTATGTTCTTGTCTTCTTATATGTAAACATAAATCGAAAAATGTGTTGGTAAGCGTATAACATAACAACGCCTGGACCCATTTGGAATTAGCAATAATTCGATTTTTTCGATCGCAGTTTGCCATTTGCGCTACACAATCCATTGGCTTCATTTTTGTATTTCAATGCCTTACAATGTAAGCAAACCGAGTTCATTGATCCAATAGCAACACATTGATAGTTACTATAGTCAATTGACACCTCGTAATTGAAAGCAGCTGGATTTCAAACTTGCGCGATTATGAGTTGAATGTCGCGCTCGCGCTTCACGCGTTTGTGATATCCGAAATCTTTCAATTTCATTTCGGTCGTGAACTTCTTGTGCATTATGATTAGATCGGGAATTAGTTTGAATTGTAGCATTTTGGGTTCTTCTACCTAAATTACTTCGTCTTACAGGAGGCATATCGAAAATAAATTGTGTCACATGCAATAATTAGTGATCATAGATAATCAAATACTTTGTACAAAACACGATATAAAAAGAAAACTCAGTAAAATATTAGTATGTATTTAAATTATTTACACTTCATTTATTAATGACAGTATTTAATTATCATATTTGAAATATTTAAAATAGACAACAGTGAATGTTTGTAGTGTAATATGAATTATATTGAATAGCAATAATTCGATTTTTTCTCGCCGTAAAAACCATCCTTGGACTTTAACGAACATTTAAAAAAAAGAATTGACCAAATTCGGAAAAGAGGTTTTCCGAACAGTAGCGAACTACAACAAAAACTTTATTTTTTATATTATTTTAATTAATTGAATTTTTGGCTAACCATACAGCTGTTTCGAGTATTGCCAAATACCCATCATCAGTGGTCTTGGAAATAATTCTTGTATTTAATTATTCGTAAATAATTATTTTTGAAACTGCAAGTACCAGGAATCGAATTTGGATCCTGTCAAATGTGAAGTTCAAAAACCTCTTTACTGTTCGAAAAACATTGTAACGACCTTTTCCGGACCTTTCTATAACTGGGGAATACCAGGGTTCGTTATAAGAAATTTAAATAAGTAAAATAATAGAGTCACTTCTGTTTATAGCAGCTTTTATTATTTTATAAAAATAAGAAAAAAAAACATACATTAAAGTTGTGAGAAGCAGTAGATTCACGAGCGTAGCGTTATAACTGTTGTAAATATTGAAGTTATTGTGATTGTTGAAAATTTATTGTTGTAGGTAGTGCGCGCGTTGCAATCGTTGGAAGTGTTGAGATATTAAAGTTGTGGGAAGCAGTAGACTCACGAGCGTAAGCGTTGTAACTGTAATAGGAGAAATTTCTAATAGCCTTTAAAACCCTAATTAACAATTTAAATTAGTACCCTTGTCAGCTATTGCCAGACGATTTCAGACAGTGTTGGTGATTCGTCGTCCATTCCTCCATCAGCAATGGCCAAATGGAAGCTTGGATAACTAGTTAAATTACCCTACGCCAGCATAAGATAAATCAACTGGCTAAATTGCCCTACGCCAGCATCAGCCAAGCAGAAGGCAATTCAGCCACTATCACTTCGCCCAAACTAGTTCATCCATTCAGATGGTGATTATCAGCAATGCCCAAACGAATCAACATGTGCCTGGACCAACTAGTCCAAGCTCCCACTATCGTCCCTAACACAATAGTTACTTACCTGTAATAGGAGAAATTTCAAATAGAACGATTTGGCAATTGTGCTGCCGTTTTATTTGAAATTCCTTCCATTACAGGCAAAAACAAAAATATTTTAGAGTAAACAAAGTCCCGTAAATTTTGACAAAACAAATTTCTTGTTGTTGTACGCATTGCAATCAAATTCAATAAAAATAACTGCATCACTAAAAATGCGTGCACAATATTTTTCTTAAATTTGTTAATGCAAACAAACAAGAGAAATAGCTACAACAAAATTAACTAACTTTATTACCGGCAAAAAAAACTAATCAAAACCCTATTTTAGTTTACAGGGTCGTTAGTTTTAAGAAAATATTTATTTAACTATGTAATTTACAGGGTCATTCGTTTAGTATGTGGGCCTACATTTTAACGTAAAATTTAGGCGTTACAACCTCTTTATGAAATATAATAAGTTACTATTAAAATATAATAGCCACTTTCGTCTGGAGAATTTGACGTTGAATTACAATTTATATTCACAAAATATTTGTCTCGCCCGTGCGACTAGTTGAGTAACATTAGCATGACTTTCTCAGCATCACGTTCCTAGATTAGGTTCTATACATAAGAAAGAATAAATCATGCAACAAATAATGCCTCTATGAACAGAATAGTGTTGCAATTTAACAATTAAAAATAAAAATATAATTAATTAATTAATTCAATTATTCTACAGCTGGTTTATGATTTCGTTCTAATAAAAACAAAATAAAAACAAAAAAAAATAAAAACTAATAAAAACAGCAAGTAAAATTGTTAATAAAAACTAAAAATAACAAAACTCCAGAAAAATATGCGAACAAAAAAGAAAAGCCAAGTATGGCTTTGGATCAGTTGGTTATGGTGCGCTGATTCTGAGCTTCACATTTCGCAGGATCCGAGTACAATTCCTGGTACTTGCAGTCTCATAAATAATTATTTACGAATAATTAATTGCAAGAATTGTTTCCAAGACCACTGATAATGAGTATTTGGCAATACTCGAAACAGCTGAATGGTCAGCCAAAATTTCAATTAATTAAAATAATATAAAAAATAAAATTTTTGTTGTTGTAGTTCACTATTGTTCGAAAAACTTCTTTATTACAACTTTATTAAATAGCAATAATTCGATTTTTTTCACACCGTAAAAGCCATCCTTGGACTTCAACAAACATTTAAAAAAAAGAATTGACCAAATTGGTCCAGGCGTTATTGAGTTATGCGCTTACCAAAACATTTTTCGATTAATTTTTATATATAAGATTAGTACTTCCATTCGTTATCTTTATATTAAACTAAAACTTAATTCTAACAAATTAGTTAAAATTAAGTTAGAAAGTCTGTGTACAAAATGTGTAAAGGGGAATTTCCGAAGTTTTGACAGTAGAAATCTGGCGTGGTTTATGTTTTACTGAAGTAAAATATCATAATACACAATCCCACTCACTTATTTTGTAATCAAATGGTTAAAAAGTAAATAATTTTATAATGGCAAATAAAGGAAAAGAAATTAATATCAGTGAGAGAATTATTATTATTGATTTATGGAAAAAAAAGAAAACGTGTCGCGAAGTTGGTCAAATCGTTAACCGCTCACATTCTTCTATCCAAGGAGTAGAAAACAACTACAATTCAACAGGATTATGGACCTCGAAGTCGAGATGTGGGTGTCTATCCAAGCTGTTAACAGGAGAAACCCGCAAATTTATAAGTTCAGTGAAAGAAAATCCTTTTCTAACTGGACTTCAATTTAAGAAATATATTGAGCAGACATTCCAGAAGCAAATTCACGGATACTGTACGCAAGATATTAAAAAATTTCAACTACTATAGTCGGATTGCACGAAAGAAGCCGGTTGTCTCCAAAGCTAATAGAGTGAAACGTTAAGCATTCACAAGCGAGTATTTAAATACATAAGTGTCCAGAATTTTGGAAACATATAATTTTTTCAGATGAAAGTAAATTTTGCCTCTTTGGCCTCAAAGGTCGAAAGCTTAT